AAAGCATCTGTAGGCAAGACAAAAAGCAATGGGTGAAAACTCATCAAGGAGAAAAACAACTTAGAACTAAAGAGAAATTTCCGGACAGTTAGAACAATTAATCAGTAGAACAACTTGCCTCCAAAAATTGTGAATGCTCCAACAGTGGAAGTTTTAAAGAACAGATCAGACAGCCATTTTTCTGAAATCATATAGACGAGGGGTGTCAAACTCAATTTCATTGAGGGACGCATCAGGGCTGTGGTTGACCTTGGGAGGGGTGGGGGGGGCATAGCCAACTGGGTGGGCATGGCCAGCTTGACGGCACTCCTCAAACTGCTGGCATATTTCCTCTTTGCATTGGATAGGCAGGGCCGAAGCCATGCTGGCCCGATGTTTCCTCTTCACGTTGGGTAGACTGGGCCGAAGCCATGCAGGCTGGCCCCTTACATTTTCCAGTACAGCCCCATGGGCCGGATCTAACCACATTGTGGGCCGCATCCGGCCTGTGGGCCTTGTGTTTTCACCCCTGGTATAGACTATAGAGGTTCCTGCTTGAGCAGCCGGTTGGACTAGAAGACCTTCAAGCCCCCTTCCAACTCTGTTATTCTGAATTCTGTATTATTAATTTATAATCAACATTCTGACTTGAAATAGCATTTCCTATATTGGACAAAGTGACTAAACATTTAAAAATGCAACAATTCATATATCATCACCCTTTGATTATAATTTTAAACTTTGAAAATAATCAAGAAATCCCATAACTATTAGGACAAACAGAATAATTCAAATAGTCTTTTTTTCCTGGGTAAAAAGGCATGGACTTAAGCAGTTCTACACATAGCTTTAACCATCTATTGACAGCTGAACATATCAAAAAGAGAGGAAAACACTTGAATGATTTGTTTTCACTGCTTTCCCATGTTGATAAACGAAGCTAAAAAAGCCTGGAGAAGTACACGAATTTTGGGAGCTTTATTTAAATATTGGCATTTTTTTCTAAATTAAATAAGAGTATACTATAGATTTTGACTCTAAACTTAAGATCATTGCCATTGTCAAATGCTTCTGCATTATATAGCGTTCCCATGTGCTCTTTTTGGTAGAAATAGTAAAATAGCAATGTTATTGTGTACTTCTGAACTGTTGGGCTGTTTCTTTTGTTTCAAACCCTGACTCCCTGCATCCTCCGTGTATATTTATTGCAGTACTTCAGATCAGGGGTCCCCAACCTCCGGTCCGTGTGATCAGCACCGGTCCGCGGCATACCAGCAACCAGGCCATGCAAACAAGCAAAGTTCATCCTTGGGATGGAGGCAGCTTTCCCATTCCATTCAGCGGAAACTGGTCCCTGGTGCCCAAAGGGTTGGGGGGCCCTGCTTTAGATATTTAGATGATAATTAAAATGAGCATAAAAACAGAATATTTCATAATAAGGATCTAGTACTACATATATTTGATAGCAAATTCCAGTGTACTCAGTGGGAGTTGCTTCTGAATAATGTATGCCAGATTAGCTAGTCTTGGATGGGTATTTTACATTCAGAAATCTTCCTAAACACTGGTTGGAAGTATGCAAATAATTTCCTGTTTCTTTCTGTTTCCAACTAAACTGGTCAGTGGTCGATGAAGACGGTAAGGCGTGTGTGCTGATTTGTCTGCTGTAATTCGTAACAGTAGCATGCAATAGCCTATCCATTTCATAGTTCTGAGTCAGTTAGTCAGATTTGTGCATACTTTTGTTTGTCATTTTGTCTCATAGTTCGTTTGCACTTGATGTAAACAATTTCCTGCTACTTTATAGATTGTATTACAGATCCAATACAGATAATTTTACCTATAATTCTTCTTAAAGTAGGATGTGTTTATGCATTGTCATTATGAAATGAAAATAATTTTACGTACAGCTTAATTGAGCTCTGTTATACAAATTACATACATTATATATGAATTTGGCCTTTTGTGTTATAGAATTATTCTGTTTGAATGACTGAATATTTACAATTATTTGGGGGGTGATGTCCTATTTCTGCATCCAATTCCAGAATAAACGGGGTCTTTGTATATCTTCCAGAGGGGCTCTGCAGTTTTTGGAGATAATAGACAAACAATACAGGAGCATTTAGGAAAGAAAAGAGAAAAACTAACTTTGCCTAAGGGGTCTTATATTACATAGTAGTTCATCCATTCTTTGGAAGTAATGTAAAGTTGGTACATTGTGATAAAATAATTCATTGTCCTTTTCATTAACATACAGCTAGAACATTTTTGCAAAATTGACTTAAATCAGAAAAAAACACCTTACAATATTTTCCAGTGCAGTTTCATATACTAGGCATGTTGTATTCAAGTTTGGTTAAAAAAAACATACTAATACCCATTTTCAGTGAATGTTCTACTTACATCATTTGAATTAAATAATAATAATTTAAAACAACATTGCAATATATCAAGATAATTCTACTATTGATGTAGAATGCTGTTATGGAAGTAGTGGAAAATGAAACATTTCTACTGTTGAATATAAAAAAGTGCTGAAAAAAATTGACTAATAGAATAAAAAGGAAGATGTAAATATAATTTTGGCTATCTTTCCAATTGATAAAGCATGAAACTTAATTTCCATAAATAAGGAAGAATCTATAGCCTCCTTCTGCTTTTGTCAAAAGAAGGAAACCAACATTTTGCTGCAAGCTCTGTCCCTTTTGGATATGTGCAACATCACAATATACACGCAAAAAAGACAGGGCACGCAGTTCGATGCTGTAGGGACACATCCCTGCAGATATTTCTGACAATGATACTAATTCTTTGACAGAAAATTACACAGAATCAATGGAAGTGATAGATATGGTGGAAAAAGCTAGAAATAAATGTTGCTTATTATACTGAAGGCAGTTATCTGAAATCATTTTTGAAGGCAGCATTCTTGTAAGAATTCCTGGATTTTTCAGTCCCTGATCTCATTCAATTTCTTTGGAACTTGGCTACTCGAGGTCTTATGGGATACTTTTTGTGCATGGTAGTGATTCCTGTGTTTTATACCGTATCTAAGAATAGAAAAATTAAGTGTAGAAAGTTCCCAAGAAAATCTGTTTTTCTTAAGTGGCATAAGAACACCACTAACATCAGTTGAATTATAAAAATAGAATGTAAGATGATATGAAATCATTATGTTTTACCATATTGTATTTAGGAACTTCACTAGACAGTCTCTCTTGAAAAATACTTGTAATAAAACTATTGGTCTAGAAAAATTAGTAGAAAATTATGTAGAAAAGTGGATTTAGCTGCCTTGTTTAGCTTCTCTAAACAGATGGTAAACCATTAAAATAAAGGCTTGCAAGTTCCTCTTTGGCTTGTAATTAACCAGTGAGTACTATAGTTAATTTATTAAATTGTTAATCACATGTGTAAGTAGGTGGATTTGTGAATCTTTTCTTTGTAACAGCTTGTTTATAGCTTGGGATTTGCTAATTATGCTCCCAGTGTTGAATGTGACAGAAATTGCTTGTATTCTCTTCAATATATTAGGAGGATTTGGAAGGGAACTTTTTGTAGGTTATGAAAAAGGGTTTCTGTTTAAATTCAGTCTGCACTCATGCCAGCTAATTTGATTTAGGGGTATGATGTAACTATTCCCAAATCAAGCTTTCCAGAAAATGGAGTGAATTATGAAATAAATTTGTTATCATGATCTAAACAAGAAATAGAGGCTAAAAAGAAGGGGTTGTTGGTTTCCAGATTTGAGGTGCTTCTGTTCTAGATCAATTTTGATCTAAACTTTGACATGTGATCTTCCCTGTTGGAGAAGATTTCAATGTGTTTCAGTGAAATTTGAAGTTGGCTACTTCCAAGCTCATTAATAGCTTTTTTTCATAAGAAATCTCTTTTGGGCTAAAGAAGGACCTTTATCACAGGTAAATGAGTTTATGAAGACCTAAGAGTTAAACACCAAAATAGATATATCCTTACTCTATACTGCTACTGCATTCACTTGTGCTGACCAGCTTTACAAATATTAGTTTGATTATAGTAAAATAATAAAGGGAAACCTTGTTGGCATAATCCTACACTATATGCCTTACACTATAATCACAGTTTAAAAAAACTCCCAACATATACAAGTATTCCTATGTTAAATTAACATTTCAAATCTGAGTAAAATATCCAACTACTGATGTTGATATTGGCACAAATTTACTGCTTAACCTCAATTAAAGCTGAAATATATCTTCATTTTGGAAGAGGAATATGTATTCCTGAGATTGGCTTCCAGTTTACTGTTGCTAATTATAATGGTGCGAGGTTTATGTCTTTTTAGAGAAATCTTTTTAGAAAATGGAAAAACATGATTTGAAGAAAAACCAACTTATGTATTCTATCTTAGCCTTTTTGGATGCTGCTACAGCAAATACTGTAGATTTAATAAATCTATACCATTTCTGGAGATTTTTTTTATCCTTCAAATAATTTCCAAAATTGCAAGAAGATGCATTACAATTCTCTTACTAATATTTTAATTCCATTTCCTTTTCCTTAAGCTCATTTTGTTCTGTTGTTTATAATAAGGAAGAATATTGTTATATTCTAAGCACATTGGGAAAAACACAGTAATCCACTACATCCATTTGCAGATTGTTTGATTGTCACTTTGGAATAGCAAAGAAGAGTACATCATTAAGATACCAAATTCAGTATTAGGTATACATATTGTCTAGACCAGGGGTGTCCAACCTTGGCAAGTTTAAGACTTGTGGACTTCAACTCCCAGAGTTCCTCAGCCAGCAAAGCTTTGCTGGCTGAGGAACTCTGGGAGTTGAAGTCCACAAGTCTTAAACTTGCCAAGGTTGGACACCCCTGGTCTAGACCCATAGTTTGCAGCATTATTGAAGTGGGCACCAAACTCTTTCATTCAACTGTATTATTCAGCAAAGAAGTACTATTGGGTTTACTACCAACAGAAGTATCAGTGGGAAAGCTGCCATTTCTAAGTCTTGTATTTTCTTTGGTTTTAGGGTCCCTCCCAAGAAGATTTCAGTCACTTGCCACCAGAACAGAGGCGGAAAAAACTTCAGCAGAGGATTGATGAGCTTAACAGAGAATTGCAGAAAGAGAATGATCAAAAGTATTTACGTTATTCTGACTCTTGATGCTGATTTTATTTTGCTGTACCTAGGAATTTGAAACTTGCTCACTTCAAACATCTGTTTGATTTGATTTATCATAAATCCTCCTAAGCATTTGGAATTTTGGTTCTTCAGTTGCGATCTGTGTGATTCACATTTATGGACTTTGAATGCTATCAGTCCACCATTGTGTAGTACTAAAGCTCAACTTTTATTCCCAAAAAGGAATAAACTCTCATCTTTCATTTTGTGAACAGTTATCTTCCTCTGGTTGTGATGAAATGGGAGTTTATTGTTTGAATAGAATGCAAAGAAGGAATGAATTGATAACCAGCATCTAAATATTTAAAGAAACATGGCAAGAATGAAGATAATAGTAGTGACAGGAAGTTGACAATTATAGGGTGTAAACATAGGGAAAGAAAAATGAGATAATTAGTATCTGGAAGAAAAAATACAGGTATTCCTTGATTTACAATCAAAATTGGACTGGAAATCCAGTGTAAGTTATTGAGGTTGTAAGTCAAGGCACCTGGGTGACCAGACTTATTTTCCTGACTTTTTTTTTTTTTTTTTTTGCATTGGTTATTTAGCAAATCACACATCACTAAGCTAATGGTGCAGTCATTAAGCAAACCCTTCCTAATGGGTATTTTTTGCTGGAAACAAAATGTGGTCATTGACTGGGATGCCACAGTCGATTGTAAATGGGGGAGGGGAGCACATTTTACAGTGGCCAGAAGTGATTTACAAGCCATAAAATACCTATTCTGAGGCCATTGTAATTCCTAATCCTCATAAATCGACAGCTACTGTATGAATAATCCTTGTGAAAATGGTAATAAGTGTCAGTGTGGCTCTGAGGGAACAGTTCATGACCTCTATTATCTGTTCATACAATGTTATTGTTAGATAAAATTTAAATTGTTTATAATCCAACATTTGTCTGAGTAAATGAGACAAAATATAATTTCATTCACTACTATAGTTCCAGGAAAGAACTGTTAAGAGAGGAGTTAACCTTTATATAAAATAAAATCTTATTATAAAAGAATTCTATGCTTATCATCTTCGGATGATAACTGAAATATTTTAAAATATATTATTTGACCCAAAGCAAACTCAGAAAAAAAAAATCCAAGATTTTGCTTCTTACCAAATAAACTTGGTTTCACCACATAGGTATACCCATATGTACAAATAAAAAAACTGAAGCCAGCTGTGGATTTTTTATCTATAAATTCAGATATTTTAGTCTATATATGTTCGGTTCTGTTAGGATTGAATGCAACTTTTGTTTCTGAGTATTGAAGAAGTTAGCAGATGCTATGCACGACATAAAAGAGCAGTTGTGATATACAAAGGGGACAGCTTCCTGCCAAAATCTGTGAAGCATTGGAAGACCCAACCTATTTCTGTCAATTCACAGATTAAAATAAATGGAAGAATCACAAATACAGATAAGTAGCACGAGCACTTAGACTTTTATATCCCTTTACAGTGCTTTACAGCCCTCTCTAAGCAGTTTACAAAGTCAGCATATTGCCCCCAACAATCTGGGTCCCCTTTTTACTGACCTCAGAAGGATGGAAGGCTCCGTTAACCTTGAGCTGCTCAGAATTGAACTCCTGGAGTGAGCAGTGAGTTAGTCTTGCAGTACAGCCGTCTAACCACTGCACCACCATGGCTCTTGGTAGCCAGTTCATAGCCAGCTTTGATATACACTCAGTTCTCTTTCTCCCAAAGGGATGAGAGGTAGGCTGTTGAACATCATTTGATGAACTCCTGACAGTTGCATTTTTCTATAGAGATGCCCTCATCAAAATGAAAGATGTATATGAGAAAAATCCACAAATGGGTGATCCAGGAAGTCTTCAGCCAAAATTAATGGAAACTATGAACAACATGGACCGTCTGCGAATGGAAATCCACAAGAATGAGGTAAAAATCTGTTCACTGGATAGTTTTTAAGACTAGGATTAGTACAATTTTCAGTCTCTTAACCAAGATATTCTCCCAAGTTCCAAAGAGTCATTCAAGTCAAAGCAGGCAAAGTCATATTTACTGCAGCATTTCAGCCCATTTGCAACAGCCTTCATGTCTTTCCCAGCTAGGTCTAATATTCCATTGAATGCAGCAACAATAATTGATGATAATTATGTGGATGGTTTTGCCAGCAGGATACCTAAAAATATTCAAAGCGTGGCAGCGTGGTGGCTCAGCAGTTAAAAAGCTGGGCTTGTCAGCTGGAAAGGTTCGAGACCCGACTTCCAGCTCATTAAAGCCACTTTAGGGGGGAAAAGTTGCAGCACTTAAGGAAAAAAATGGCAGAGCCTTGTAGAGCGGTGCAGCCCAAGACTCAGAGGCAATGGCAGGGGGTGTCAAAATAGGAAACCCCTGCCTGCCGTTGCCTCTCCACCCCATTCCTGCTGCAGCCAAACAGGCAGTTCGGCGTTCAGATCAGAGCCAACCTACGGCCATCTTCTGACAGACTGTTCGCTTGTCCAGCTCTCCATCCAGCGCCCACAGCAAGTTATCCCTGCAGGGATTTTCAAGTGTTGGGATGTCCTGCAAAGAAATGGCGGCACCAAGTTGGCAGAGGAGAATTGGTGGTGGTGAGAAGACCATCCCCTGCTGGCCACCCCAAGCTAGCAGCATCAAGTCCTCCCATTCTGCCATGAGACAGGGTGAACTGTGCTTGCCCCAGCTCCTGCCAACGTAGCAGTTTGAAAGCATACAAAATACAATTAGATAAATGCCACTTCAGTGGGAAGATAACAGTGCTGTGAGACATCATGCTGGCCACATGACTGCAGAAATATCTTCAGACAGCTCAGTGGCTTTGAAACAGATGAGCACTGCCCCCTGTAGTCAGCAACAACTAGCGGAGTAAAATCTGCAGGGACTCCTTTACCTTTATACTGAATCAAGGAATCTGTAAATTTTCTGTACTTAATAGAATATTTGGAAATATTTCAGTTAGAAAAAATGTTTTGGTAGATATAGTTTAATTATATTATTTATTTAAATCTGCCCCAGTTGAAAATAATACACTTCAAGGAATTTATATTGGGTCAGCTTAATTCTTAAATGAAATTGGAAGTTTGATAAACAGTTTGGTAAAGACGGTCACAAAGTATAGTTTTACTAGCTATGGCATTTCAAAAGGTGATGAATTTAACTGTGTCTGGATATTTATAGAGTTCGTAAGTGGTGGTTTCATGGACAACTGGACATAGAATTGATTTTGGACCAAGTTTTTGTTTCCTTTGACCATACATACATGCTTGTGTATCCACAAGACAGGCCAAGCACTCCTCAATTCTCTATCTCCCTTTACTGCTTTTTAAATGTTCCTTGGCATTTTTTCCCCCTATTACTCCCTAGTTATATTTATCTGTTTTCTCCTGGACAGGAAAAAATATTTCCAAATAATTACTTGCCTACGAGTAAGTCTTTAACGCCCAAATGGAACCAAGTGGACAACTGGAACCATAAAGATTATGTTGGAGGCTGTCATTTTGGACTGCAGTAGGCCAGTGTCCCTTGGTTTTTTTTTGTTTTTTTTAAAAACACCTTTAAAACATCTAAAAGTGCATACGTACATACAAGAAATATAGCTTATGGGTTCCAGAAGCATCCCCTGAGCAGAATTTTTATATTTCATTCTGGCACAGGTAACAGGTTTCTCTCTCTTTTCAGGCATGGCTTTCTGAAGTTGAAGGTAAAGTAGCAACAAGAGGAGACCGAAGGCACAGCAGTGACATCAACCATCTCGTAACCCAAGGAAGAGAGAGGTCACTATATTACACTCTATTTTTTATTTCCTGACCTACCAGTCGATTATAAAGCTAGATTTCTAAAACAAGTAAATCTAGTAATTGTGATTTATATACCTAAAATATAGAGCAGAGCAAATCCTCTGAAAGTGTCACTTTGCAATAGCAAGAACATACAATATATAAAACAACCTCTCTTCTGACATAGAATAACAACCAAGAAAAGCCAGACATACTTAGAAAGTACAGCTAACTTAATTATCGGAGGAGAGGTGCACCAAATATTCCTTGGATTGCAAAGCACCTCTTTGCACAGGTGTGCAAGAAGTCTGCCTTCTCTGTAGCAGAATAAGGTTCTCCCTCAAATTCAGATGTTCTTTCCCCTGAAGATCTGGCTTCTCATCCAGTCCTTTGATAAGGGAAAATGAGAATCCTGACATTTTACTAAAATGTATAAAGTGTGTGTGTGTGTGTGTGTGTGTGTATAAAGAAAGAAAAAGACTTTTTTTCACAAGATCTTTTTGTATGTCGTCATCTCGAAAAAGCTTTGCATTAAATCTTCATGCTACAAGACGTTTTATTCACGTCGTTCCAGTTTTATTGAACTTTCTGGTTGTTAAAGGAAATACCTGCAGCTTCCAATGTTTATCAGCTTCTCCCACCCTTTTTCCCCCCCTCTCTTTTAACATCTTTTCTGTTATGTGCTGGTATGTATATTTAGACATTTTAAACTTCAGTAATTTTTTTGATAATGTGATTGCATTTTTAGTGGATTGACTTCTTTCACATACAGTATTATAAATTGCTTTAACTGTTTAAAATGAAACATTCATGTATTTTAATAGACAAAAAAATAATATTTAGAAAGAGTGGTATGTGTGTGTTCATAACAAGTGTTCACAAAACCAGAGGAATGCGAAGGTTCCACCTGCAAAAATGCCCTTCAGCATTATACTTCAAATGATTTAACCAACTTCATATAGTTCTCCTTTTCCCATAGAAAAGCTGTAGCATTCATCAATTGGTTTTATATGCTTGGCTAAGGAATAAATATGCTTCTCTTCATTACATTAGATTGCAGCTGGAGTGTAACAAAATTGAAACGGTGTGAGTTAAGGGTTGTTTATAGAGGCAAAGCAGGCTAAAAAACTCCTACACATTCTTCTCTTTTTAGGCAGTCTGTGGAAATTAAAAAAAGAACTTTTTAGATAAACAACTTGTTTCATTTTCTATTTTAAGTAAAGCAGGGATTAAAAATGATGGACAGTTTCACTTTGAAATTTTAAACAAGGGAATATATGGTTATTCCCCCCCCCCCCCCCCTTTATAGCCATGTGTGGTGGAAGAGAGTCTGAAGATGTAACGAGAGACAGGATTTTATTCCAGTAGACTTGAGTGCATTTAAAGCACCAGTATTATTGTTCTGTATTTTCATATGCTGGACAGATGGAATCAAAGCGCTTTTGCTTTTAAAAGCCATTGTATGTTCTGTTCTCTGCCTGTATTTTTCAGTCACATTTTATAGATAGAATGATATAATTCTTTATTTAGGCCAAGTGTGATTGGACAACACAAGGAATTTGTTTCGGGTGTATAAGCTCACAGCGTACATATAAACAGCAAGTAATAGTTCATAGATCATAATAAACAATTGATAAATCATAAGAAACTAATAGAAAACAGTAGGAAAGATGAGAAATTATACAGTGTTGTGGGAATTAGGTGTTTACCAGAGGGATGGTAAAACTTTAATAGTTTTGGCATGCAATGCCCTATAGCGGCATCCAGAGGGGAGAAGTTGAAATTGATTATGTCCAGGATGTGAGGGGTCTCTACATATTTTCTGAACCCTCTTTCTCTTTTGGGCAGTATACAGGTCCATATATAGGATGGGTTTACGTTTACTTCACAAAGGTTCACAATTTGCAATAAAATATGAACATGTTTTGAGATTCTTTTTAACTGATGAAAAACCTATGAGAATTTGGTTAGAGAAACGCAAAGGTGCTTTCTGTTATCTATTACATTTTAGTCCGGAGGGGAGCTACACAGATGATGCCAACCAAGAAGTTCGAAGCCCACCTCAGCAGCATGGCCCCCATAATGAATTTGATGACGAGTTTGAAGATGACGATCCCTTGCCGGCTATAGGACATTGTAAAGCTATCTATCCATTTGATGGTAAGATTAATTTCACTGAAGTCTACATGCAGAATAAATGGGAGTGACCTTGAATCAGTCCAGGATGTTTGGAATTTTCATTGTTCAACAAAACACGATTTGTAATGTTTAAGAGTGTTTACACTATATGAACAATGGGAACTCAAAACAAGGCCTTTAATTTAACACAAAAGTAGGGCTAGTCTCGGCTGAATGCTCCACATAACCATGTTGCAGAAATAGGTGGTATTTGTATTTCAACCCACTTGGAAAAACTCAACAAACTCAGTTTTTGAATTTGGCAACATAAAAGCTCAGCAGCATAGCATTACTAGCTGTAATTAGCATGCATAAGGCATGGTTTTCCATTTGACAGCTTGTCTAAGAAAGCATTATCCAAGTAAATGCTACAGTAGAACCCATAACCTTAAATTTCTCTCTATTAAAGACAGCAGTAAACATATTGCACAGGTAGCAATCTTTTCTTAATGAGCAATCTAGTCAGGAGCCAGTTACAAGACATTGGAACTCGCAAAAGCATTTAAGCTTGGTATATGTGCACATTCCTCTATGCATATGTGTGTACACACACTCACACACACACACCAACACAACATTGTGTGTGCATCTTTGTATGCAGTCTCCCCCCCCCCTCCGGATATCTAAATACAATTGTATGTAAATTTTTATAATGGCATCTGGTTTAAGTTCTGGGAAATTCATGCCGTAACTCGTTTCTGTTTAATGGCAATAGTACTTCTGCATTATAACAAAATAAATATGTTAGATTAGAAAAGCAGCTGTTGGCAAGGATTCAACTTTGCAACAAGAGACCAGGTTTTTGTCTGTTGGCTTACATTTGAAACATATGTTCCGCTGCAGGGAACTGAGGATCCCCATTTCCCAGAATGAAAAATGAGGGCTGAGAAAGAGACCAGCTTTAACTCCTCCAAAGGAACAAGAAACCCTAAACACTACACTTTGTTTTGATTTCCTCCTAGGTCACAATGAAGGTACCCTTGCCATGAAAGAGGGGGAGGTTTTGTATATTATAGAGGAAGATAAAGGCGATGGATGGACAAGAGCTCGGAGGCAGAATGGAGAAGAAGGATATGTGCCAACTACCTACATAGATGTAACTCTAGAAAAAAACAGTAAAGGTGCAGTAACCTATATCTAATCTCCAGTCCATCATCTTGTCCATGAACATTGCTTAATGAATACTGAAGCACATAATTGGATGGAAAAAGTCCAAAACCGTTTATGAATCCTTTCAATATGTGATTGACCACAGGAGCCCAAACTAAGAGTTCAGTTTTGAAACTGGAAAATGTCTGCGTATTTAGATTGTTCTGAGTGCCATCTTTGCTTAATGTACTTGTGCGTCTTCTTTTTCAGTACAGTATTTTATTGGTTTTCATTCTTTTAATATTATTCTTATAAAGCTTATTGCTTCCTTTTAAAAGAGCGTCTTTTTAGAACAAATAGTTTCATGAGAGTATACCATCTCTGGGCAATCGATGATTTTTCTTGAACCAGAGCTTGTTCCAAAATGAAGACCGGCTTTTAACTTTTATTTTCTGAACAGCAACTCTACTTCTCATTGCCCTCTGCCCATTGATGCCCTGCACACATTTTATAAGAACAGCCTGCAGGCTAATGCAATGTGTAAAGTCATGCAGCAACCAAGGAAAACTTTCACTTGCATGCCATTTCCTGCATGTAATGGAACCTAGGGAGTTGCGATGTAGGCTTACAAACATTCCTATTCTGTAAGTACTTTTGCAGCTTTTCCTTTCAAAATCAAATCTAAGATTCTTAAAAACGATACAAGTGCTATAGCAGCCACATAGCTTGCTGATTGGCTCCTTTTTTGCTCTTTTGCTCATATTTTGGATTTTTGTATACACGTTTTATATATACGTGTATATACATTTTTGTATACACAACCAAACAGTCCCTGCCTCTCATGCCAACACTTGACACATTTCTGATTCTGATTCTTGTTCATTGTTTTGTTCAAAAAGCGCAGAATAGTTACAACTGCTTCCTGCAGGACTTGTAAAAGTAAAACTTAAAAGTAAACTTGGTTCCATTCATCCCAATAGAAAGTGCCTATAGGAATAAATGCAGATCACTTCCTTTTGTTAGAAATGAACAGATAAAAGTCTTCGCATGTGGAGAAGTTTTCATGCCGGCAACGGGTTATTTTATGAGGATGTTTATCTGTGGTATCAGATGATTAGACTTGGAGTGTTCTAACTTGTATTACTTGGGCTTTTATACTTGTGTGTTTTCACTTGGATGCTAGGGACCATTTGGAAGTTAAATTGCACTAATTTTCTACTGAGTGAATGTCTACCCAGAAAGTGTGACTTGCAGAACTTTTGCAAAGGATCTGAGCCATTATCTAGTATAATCGTAATAATCTGAGGTGGATGTTTATAAAGGGGAAAAAAATGACTGTGCTTCTCTTTTATTGAATGGCCCCTGGTAATCCTGTTCTGTTCTTCTTTTCCTCTCGGATTGCAGGTTCCTGAAGCGGGTATCTGAGAAAATGGGCGACATGTTGAAGGAGGTTACATGCAGCTGCTTTTGGGGGGGAGGGTGTTAGGCCCAACAAGATGGGGAGAAAGCCAGTTGCATGAAAGCATGTAGGCATATGTTTCTCACTAACAATGTTAGCATTTCTCTTGTGTGTTCAAAATTGTGGTAAGCTCTAAAGCTCCATCCCAACAGAACCAAACACCCCAGTTTGAAAACATATCCTCTCCATAGTTTGAAGTTCTGAAATGCTAACTGTTTACCACTTGCATTTTATATTGGCTGTTTCAGCTGCTTCCTTTTCCATATCCATTTTCAAAATCGGCGTTCAGTCGAAATCTTGTCATTGACAGTCTTCTGCCTGTGCCACTTCCATGCTCGCCCTAACCTTTTCCTGCATGTCTAGATGCGTGTCAGGCATGTTCGCCTAATGTTTTGTACTTCCATAGCTCTTCCTCGTCTCCTGCATTTGTAGCAACCTCCAGTACTAAAGTTTTTATTTCCCTACCCGTTTATGTCACTGTAATTTGTTTGTTTGTTTTATCTTCTTCATTGTGACCATTCCAGTTCTTTGACGTTACACCGGCTGTGAAAGTAACATTCATTCTGCTTTGGGAATGGAATACATCTCAGCACTAGGCCATTCCAGCCTACCCTCAGCACCTCAATACTTTCTCATGAGCACTGAAATCCTAAGATAATAAAGAGCACAGATTTGCCGCTGTAAGACAACCAACTCTTTTCAGAAATCAAGTGCTTGTCATTCAGATGCTGCCTTAAACTCTCGAGTGCCTAAATCTGTTGATTGCCAACAATACCACTTCAGTATCCCGCCAAGGGCTATTGGGTCTCAGCTCTGTATGACCTCAATCTTTCTACAGTTCTGCAGCTGTTGGTAGCCAATGGTAGATGTTTTCTCGATCTCTACCATTCCACAACTCAAGGTGCATTGTGAACGTGACACATTGGAAAACAAAAGTACATGTATCGATATTTTTTTTTTACGTCCAATGAATGTTTTTAATAGGATTTTTATGGGAGCCTTTTTTTAATTGCCTATTTTTTTTAGTTGGGGATGGGAGAAGACACCAGTTTTTAAACGAACTGCAGTGCTCGTCTTATTTCCAAGTATGCTTTATTGTAAGGACCAGTTAAAAATTGGAGTGATACTTTGTAATGATCTATGTGCACTTTTATTTGTAAACATTGCGATTGGGACACATTTATACATGTAAATATAGTTGTCTGCAGCACCCTGTCATTGCTCATGTTATTTGTCTGCCATTTGTGAATTATGTTAACGAAACCATTGAATCTAAGCAAAATAGGATAATCTTAGTATATGGGAAGGGATGGGAGGGGCAAAGGAACAGTTAAATTAAGCTTCATAAACCAGCTTTCTGCTGTTTGTGGTAATATTTAAAATCCTGCTTTTCTAAAGGTGGGAATCAAAGCAATATTTGGACACGGCAATGCTGGATTCCTTTAGAAGTTTTTTCAGTGTTACTAGCAGTTGTACTATCAGTAAAACTAAATCTGTGTGACTCTTGTGTGGAAATTTCTTCCTTTTTACTATTAAGTGTGCCACTATTACACAGATGATTTAGTGTATTTACATTGAGGGTGATAAAACACTAAAGGTTAGAGTTTTGGGATATTGTAAACAGGGTTATTTATAATAATGTGACCGTATGCCATTACTGACCAAACTACATGGAATAGTTGTTTGTTTAATGCTGGCTTTTCATTTTAAAGTTCCAGATGAAAGACAATGATTAGGTTCTCACTCTTCCAGCCAAGAACCCTATGGATTTAGCTTAACAGCCAGTTTGAGCTGCTTTTAACACTTCCAGTAAAGGACTAATAGTTCTTTTGTGCTACTGTTTTTGTAAGGCAGGATTTGTTTCCTCAGGAGGATCTTTTTCTTCCTGTGGTATAAAGCATCCTTTATGAGGGTAGTGAAATGTAAAGGGGAGGAAAAAAATCTTTGTACTTGCACAGTTGGCTAAAATTATTTTGAAATGTTGAGAGTTAATTGTCTGAGTCATAACTTTTCAGTAATTTTTAATCTTTTGTGCACGTGTTGATTTTTTAAATGTTTAAATGCTTTGTTAAATAATAGTCGTGCTCTTCAAAATATTTTCATGGAATTAAACAATCTTTTCATGGCCCCGATCCTTTCTTTGTCTTCTGTTGCAGGCAAGTCATAGGCGGCTTTTGTCTTGCTTAATTTGTCATAAATATGCTCGGGTGGTGAAGGGAAGGAAAAGTTGCACCAGAAAGATATATCTATCCATGTTTTCCTCTATGTTAGTCTCCAATCCAGAATTATTCCTTGGGATTACTTAAATTCTTTACAAGGTTTCTCAGGTGACTTTCAGTGCACTTTATACTCCACCTAATTTGCCAAAGAGGCAGACAGATCCAGATTGGGATTTACACTAAAGCTTACTAATTACACGAACACTTAGAAACAGCAGCACTTTTGGCATGTTTAAACAATGATGCCACAAAGAATTGTACTTATATTTGGCCTCCACAAACAAATAAGGAGTGCAGTATTTCCTGCACAATGCAAATGCCTGCCAGAGAAAAGTTGAAGAGGCTGAAACAATACACTTCAGTGCGGCTTCTGGTAGAACTGCACACATGCAAACAGAAGCTTTGGGGAGGATTCCAAAATTCCTAGATATTTATTTTTTTTGTCCTGACCTACATAGTTGTAGCATGGTGGGTCTCAGATTTCAGGACTACTATGAAAAGGAAATGGTTCTTCCATTTTCTTCTCCTTTTTTCCCCCTCTCAAGTTTTCTCTTGCCTTCTTAATCCCAGCTGGATCGTTCATGTTCAGCTCATGAGGTTTTTTGTTTTTTTTAAAGAATTGTTCTAAAATTTGTGTATTCATTTGGATTCTGAAACTATAGGGTACGATAGCCCTCGCTGATGGAAAAGTCTGTTTGGAACTGATAATGAAAGCATCAGCCATAGATTTCAAAAGCAGTCCTTAAAAGGTCTGCTATCGGGTCTGCCTTACTAGCTTTATTAAAATAAAAGCTTCACATTTTCCAGTTGACTGATCAGGCCATGGTGGATTTAAACGCCTTTTATTAAGTTTGCTTGTTTCCTCTGTCTTAGGATTCATGTCATGCTTACCATGACTTCCAGAGTACAAAGAGGAGGAAGATAGATGTCTTCTTTTTCCTTAAGTCGTTGTTGGATATTTGATTAGGAGAGAGAGAAAGAAAGAGATTATGTCTTTTTTTCTTCTCTCAGAGTAGGACCTTAATTGGGTTAGACAGTAAATTGTATTACTGGTTAAAATCAAACGTCTTTATAATTAGAACTAAGAAAAAAATATGTTTTTAAATTATATCCATCATGAAAGGTTTAAAAAAAAGCTAATTTAGCTCACGGTGAACAGTAAGATACAAGTTTGGTAGTGCAACATTACCACAATTTCACCTGGTGAAATTTATACAAGTATTATAGCCACTTAACCCATTACTGCTTGTAAAAACTAGCAGTGAAAAAGGTCTCTCTAATTCCTTCACTTGAGAATTGTTTTTTTAAAAATCTGCAATGGTGGAAGACATACAGATATTTTAAAGCCTTTTGATTTAAAAAAAATCCATATGAAGTAGTATGGGAAGAATCAGTCACTGGAAAACAAAAGTTTCCACCAAGTTGCAGGATGTGAAAATATTTGGATCTGTGTCTATTAAACCAAGATACCTGATGACGTTTAAAGTAACTTCATAGAAAACACAATTGATAAGCAATATGGATAAATGCCATCAAGAGGCTTCAATTTTACAGGTCCACAATTCAAAATTTTGTTGATGATGTTGGAAAAAGTCATGGACAATGGAAAGCATTGAAAAGAGTTGAATTTGTAATGTGAATATAATAAGTGAGTGAGTAGAACATAAAATTGACTGTAAATATTGGACACTCTGAAAACTATGTCCAACAGAGTTGTTTATGGAAAGTTCTGGCCTTCCTCTCATCAGCAAAAATATATGCTAGTCATTGCTGCCTACTATTTCACACAACCAGAAATGCCCATCCATAGAAAAGCTTTCACTCTTGTCCAAGACTGTACCATGCTCTCCCTTCAGTTTTGGATGGCAAACATGAAAGTGGCAAATCTATATATGTGTGCACATACACACACCACGCATAGATTTGCCATACTTTTTGATCTGCTTTTACCATTCACAATTCTGGTGTTTTAATACTATTGTTTTAACCGCTTTTAATTGCAGTTGTGTTTAAAATAGGCCACCCTAAGCTATTATGGGAATAGGCGACTTACGTTTGAGAGGAAGTAAATTTTATCAATGCCATTCCAAAGTTAAGAAGCAATATGGCAGCAGCAAAAAAAGGGAAGCATGGAGTCTTGCTACTACCTTAAACAGTGTGAAAGTGGACATTGATATAGTTGATGTGTTGAGTCCCCAAAACAAGTCATTTTGTGTTTCATTGACAATATAACAAGGCATAAAAAAAAAAAAATAAGGCATAAAATATTTCAAGTGTTACTCTTTAATTCACAGCTATTATAAAAATTTCCATATCTATTTAAGGGATATCATACAACTGATACCTCCTAAAGAGCCATTTCTTTAACTTTATGTTTACAAAACAGACTGTTAATAACATTATTGGATATAAGTCCTAAAATCACTTTTTTAGAGTGGACTGGAGATGTCCATGAAAGGTAACAATCATAAGAAATAAATAACCCTTTATAAATCAAATCATTATTAGCAACTTATAAATAAATGTACATAAATACAGTTTACAAATTCTGCTTGATGTCAGAGGAACTTTACAAAAACTTTTTGACTGTATAACCATGTCTTCCACACCCCATCTAGGGTTATGGCAGTTTCTTCGGAATAAGAATAATAATCCATGAAGCAGTGTCCTGCTTCTCAATTGGGTATAGATGCTGTGTTTGCTATATGATTTTTGATTGGCTTGAAACTTGTTTTTTGGGGGAGGAGGGATTGGGGAATTAACGGGTTTTTTAAAAATCACACTAGCAGCATAGAAGGGAGTTGGCAGGCAGCAAATATTCCCAAGGAAGTATTTTGTTTTAAAGGATTTTTTTTTGAGGGGGGCAGTCTTTGCCCTAGGAAAATGAGAAATAAGCAACATAAACTACAGCTTTCCTTTTAAAAAAAGTGTTTCCTTGGTAAGTATACCAATTTCTTTTTAGCTGAGAATCCATCAGGCATTTCTTTGTTCAATCTGTTTGGTAAGAAGAGGTTCTAGTTTTCGGGAAAGTGCAGTTAAAATTTGATTGAATTTTTCATATCTTTCATTTTGGTTGACCTGTGCTCCTTTGCTGCCCCAGAGCAATCTCATCTGAAATTCTGTTTTGAAGATTTCGTTCATTGCGTCATCTGGCTGAAAACCTGGTGAAGAAAATGGAAATGTACAGATGTTACTATAAAATACAGTCTTTGGTACCAAGTGCTGCACGTGTTTAAGCCAGCTGCATGTCACTTTGACTGCAGCAGATGATTTGAGGTTGCTGTAGGTTCTCCCTGGAGAAAACATGACAATACAATGGGAAAAGTACCGTAGTTGACCTAAATTGGGGTTTCCCAACCTTTTCTATATACCCTGCATCCTAGAACGCTTCTGATATATTCTTGCACCCCTTGCAAAAATAAATAATTTTGAAACTTCTAAATCCAAATTTTCGCACCCCCTGGAATATTATCTCGCCACACCCAGGGGGTACGAGCACCCCAGTAGGAAACCCCTGATCTAAATCATCTGCCAATTGCAAAAAAATTCCCTCCACGTTGAATGAATACGGCATTTGAAACATACAGAGAATATGTACAACAAATAATGGCTATACAGCAATATTTATTCATTTTGGCAGCTCGAAGATGTGTGGATTTCCAACTCCCCCAATTCCCCAGCCATCTTGTTGATTTTCCTACATGGCTAAATTTTTGCCTCCGAGGACAAAATGAACAACCAAACTAAACCCCAGCTTTACTGTTTTTTAAAAAATAAAACATTCCAACCCATTTTTAGCATCTTAGAAACAGCTTTCCTCCAAGGTCTCTAGGAATGCGTTCTAAAGTTGCTAAATGAGTCGTGCAAAGTCCCTAGAAAGGCCACACATTTCCTCATAAGCAACACTGAAAGTCAGTCCAACCCCAGCTCTTCCTGTTTACAGTTCAGGGAATGAGAAGGGACACGGGGTCAACTCAGGTAAAGCTGCCTTCTTTAAATTACCAGAAACACAATCATCTGTCGGGCACACAAATAAGGGTGGAAGCAGCCTTGTTGGATAAGAGTACATTTACACAGCCTTGGGCTTGATTCTACTTGTGTCTCTTTTTATGAGCTTAACTACTAAAAACCTTAGAGCCATACCAAGAGGTCTTATTATCTTTTCCCCCCCTACCTGTAAGGATCCTTTCTGCATTTGCACTATACTGTTCAGCATTTTGTGCTATGAAACGAGCTGTTGCCAAATGTTTGAGCATGATATCACAGCTTTGGTCAGTGTTTTCCCACACATCCATTCCCTCAAAGACCACCGTCTGACGTTCTAGCAGGGTAACCAGAGGCATCAGCAACGGCACAGTGACGACGTTTTGTGACACGCAAGTGATCTCTGAAAAAGGAAGAAATGAAAAGGCACCTCAAGTTAGCACTATGACTATGACGAATTGATCTACAACTAGACCAGGGCTGTCAAATTCCCGGCTCGCGGAGCAGAAGTGTCACATGCTGGCCACGCCCAGTTTAGCAAAGGAGGGGGGAAGGTCCTGATATGTCACGTGACATCACCGTGACGATGGGAGTTTGACACCCCTGAACTAGACTATAACCTGCAACTTTAGATACCCATTCCTGTAGGTTTTTCAATGCAGTACAGTAACACAGCCCTCTGTAACTACAGGCAGGTCTCAACAACTGTTCATTTAATGATGGTTCAAAGTTGTGATGGCCTTGGGAAAAAATGACCCATCCTCAAAATTACAACCACTGCACCATGCCCCATGGTCATGTGATTGCAATTCAAGTGCTTGGCACCTAGTTTGATTTACGATGGTTGCAGCATCTCTTGGCCGCATGATCCCAACCCACAACCTTCCTGACCAGTTTTCTGAAGAGCAAAGCCAATTGGGGAAGATGGATTGACTTAACAATCGTATAATTCACTGGAGTGATTCGCTTAATGATGGTGGTGATAAAAATGAGTCAAGTTACATGGATGACTCACTTTAACGATTCACTGCTTAGCGACCAAAGTTCCAGTTCTAATTGTGGTCATAAGTCAAGGACTAACTCTACAATGTTTGGCTAGGTAGGTCTAATTTCTGGGCCTACTGCTGGTCTGTAAAGGCATAGCTGGTTTAGGATCAGAAATTCTCCATGTCTGTCCAGCACTTCAGTCATCAGAGAACTCATTCTGAGTGCTCCTACCAAATGAAGTTAGTTGTTGGCATTAAGAGAATCTTCTCAGTTTCCGTATACACTTAAGGAATTGCCTATTAATATATAATTGTTTTAAGTGCTTGCATTATATATTACATATACTTTATTATATTTATATGTGCTATTTCTTGTGAGTATACCTTCAAATACATACAACATTCCTGCTTTAAAGTACTTTTATTGGGTTCCCCCCTGATTTTAGCATTTTAAATAATTTTGCAGAAAACATCTATTTGGATTAGAAATGTAAATACATACATACATTACACATCTAAGTATCCCAATAAGCAGTGTGAATCAAGTATAGAGACAGATATTGTTCCCTTTTTAATTCAGTTTTCTTTTCATAAAACCCCCTTAACTTTGGCAAGAAAACTGATCATTGATCATTTTTCATTGGAGCTGCAGGAACTTCATTATGCAACTAATTCTTATGACAAAACAGGAGGCCTAGGACAATTACAGGTAGTCCTCAACTTAGGACTACAATTGAGCCCAACCTTTCTGTTGCTAAGTGAATTTTGCCCCATTTTACAACCTTTCTTGCCACAGTTGTTAAGTGAATCCCTGCAGTGGTTAAATTAGTAACTGGTCATTAAGTGAATCTGGCTTCCCCATTGACTTTGTCAGAAGGTTGCAAAAGGTGACCACATAACCCAGGGACACTGTAACTCTGATAAATATGAGTCAACTGTGAAGCATCCAAATGTTTTATCGTATGACCATGAGTATGCTGCAACAGTTGTGTGAAAAATGGTCCTAAGCAGGGGTGGGATTCTATCGGGTCGGACTGGTTCTATAGAACCGGTTGTTACGATTCTGCGCAGTTCAGAGAACCGGTAAATAGTGCCCCTGGTTGGCCCCATCCCACCCTGCCCATTCACTCCTTACCTGGCATCCGTGCCATCTAACTTGCCTACGTTGTGCCTTCGCCTAATTTTTAGTAAGTTGTTATTTTTCCTTCCCCCCCGCCCCCCAGCATCAGCTGTTCTGCTGTGCGGGGAGATTTAGATTAGCTAGAAAGCAGGAAATAGTTGGATTACTTGCTTTCCAGCTACTCTAAAAGCAGAGCTGGACCTTCCTTAGGACTGAAGCATCTATTTTTCAGTGCAGATTCAGGTAGCAGATTGCAGAAAGATAGATCTCTGAGTGAATCTCTGATTCTGTGAGCAACTCAATCTGCCTGCCTGCTTTGTCCGATTTTGGGTAAAAGTTGCTCTTTTTTAATAAAAAATTCAATATTTACATAAATATTTATAATATTTACATACAAGCCATACCCAGCCAGTCACATAACCACCAAGCCATACCCGGTCAGCAAGCCATGCCCACCCAGTCACATGACCACCAAGCCACACCCACAAATTAGGCCACACCCACAGAGCCGGTTGTTAAGAAATTTGAATCCCACCCCCACCTGGTCATAAGTCATTTTTTTCAGCACTGTTATAACTTCGAATGGTCACTAAATGAACTGATGTGAAGCTATCTCTATTTTGGAGTGTTTTTTTAAAAAATCCACCGGTGGCTTTTTTTCAGAGAACCTACATGTGAGCAGTTGAACATGTATTCTTTGGCTGCAGGATCTCTAAATAACAAAAGCAAAGTAGGATGTAATTAAGTCAAATAAATTCTGCCCATTTGCTGTCCTTGATAGGATATGACTTTTTTTATCCACTTTCCATTAAGGGAACAATGGATGTGCCCTTAAAGCTTAATTGGAGTCCCTCAGCAACAATGAATAATGTTATGCAACTAGATATCCACACACTCACCTTTTCCTTCATGTAAGAGTTTGCTGAAAGGTTTCAGCTGTTTCTCGTACATGATGGCTGTTTGTGTATAACAGTGCCTCAGGCTGGTCCACGTTTGCTCCAACCGCGCGATCTACAGAGGGCAAAAAAGGGAAGCTCTGAAGTATGTTTTCCTGCTGTGTGTTACAATATTATCTCATTGAACATAGCCCAGTGGAAGTTTTTTACAGCCCGCCATCCCCTCAACTAGGATGGCTTTTTGCTTATGATTTCAGGTGGGCTTTTCCCAGGCAGTCGTTCTACAGCCCAGTAGAGGAGTGTGAAAAATCTCCTGCTGATTCCCTTAAATCAGCAGTTCATTTCAATAAATATTTAGCTGCCAGCTGGGAGTAGCGAACAGGGAGATCTGCAGAGGCAGATCTAATGGACTTTGGCAACAGGTGATTTTGTTTGCATACTGTTGGCCTTTCGAGAAATATTCATGATCCCGAGTATCCGTGTATAAGATTTCCATTTTACCTGAGGCATTTCCAGAGCTTTCATTATAGCTGAGAAGGCATACAGATCCCCCATGGAGTCTTTTAGTTCGACTGCAACTTGGATAATCCTGTTTAATGTTGCAACACGCTCTTCTAAATTACCCGTGCAGCCAAGAATATCCACTGCAATTCCTATTGCCATCGTAGTATGCCTAGAGAAAACAAATCGGGTGTTGTCAGGGCTACCAAAAGATGCTGTGCTCCGTGTGAATTCAAGCATTTTGATGAGAAGAACTAAAACCAACCGGCACAGAGAATTGCACGCCTGCCGATTCTAGGATTGTTGAATGTTTTTTTAAAAAGTATTTTCAATTGATTGAAAATTGAGTATTGAATATTGACCTGTGATTTATACAGTTATGACAAACAGTATTCTTCCTCTGCTTCAGGTATCATAGTAGACTCAAACAAGCTATTGGTGCACCTTTGTAAATATTTGCAATATATTAAAACAATGAACTTCATTTAAATTCAATTCCCTTTAAAATGCAAATCACTGTTGACTTGAGTTTAGATCAGGGGTCCCCAAACTTGGCAACTTTAAGACTTGTGGACTTCAACTCCCAGAATTCTCCAGCCAGCTCTGGGAGTTGAAATCCACAAGTCTTAAAGTTGCAAATTTGGAAACCTCTGGCTTAGATCCTTTGATTTCATGATTATGTTCCTGTAGTTTTCTGGGCAACAATGTGAAATTGATTTACCACTTTCTTCTCCAGAACTTCCTAGCTAGCATTTGTGGTCTTTTCTTCTGATTTCCTATCCAAGTATTAGCCAATCCTCCCCTCTGCTTCGCTTTTTGAGATCAGCCGAGATTGGGTAAGTGCTGCCACCTAGCTGGACACATCACTCTATGGGGACCCACAGAAATCAATGCAAATTAGTCTTCATTGCCTTATAACCAATACAAACCCCATTCAGGGGTGTCAAACTCGATTTCATTGAGGGCCGCATCAGCGTTGTGTTTGATCTCAGGGGCTGGGCTGGGCATGGCCAGCTTGACGTCAGGTGTATCGGGGGCGTCTGTGATGGCCCAAGTGCTCTGTCAGCGAAAACGGGTTCCCAAGCTGCGTTTTCGGCTGTGACCGCTTCCTGTAACCCCCTGCCAGCGAAAACGGAGCTTGGGAAGGCCGCCTGCAGCCCTCATATGGTCTGTTTTTTCAGGTACGAAGGCCTCCTGCAACCCTCTGCCAAGCAAAAACTGAGCTCAGGAGGGCCACGTTTTCACTGGCAGAGGCACCGCAAGCTGGTCCTTCACTGTTTCCAGGTTGGTCCCATGGGCTAGATCTAAGCACTCCGTGGGCCAGTTGTGGCCCGCGGGCCTTGAAGTTTGACACCCCTGCCATAAATCTATGGCAGCTATGAATAAACATGGATCTAAGATAACTCTTAAAAAATTTCCCTGTGCAATTTTCCAGCATATATTTTAATAAGATTTGAATAAATGAATGTAACTGATTAAATTCTGCCATGAAACAATATCACCTCGGAACAAGGAGAGGTTAGACCTCAAGGTGAAAAGCAGCCATCAGTTCAACCTTTCCTGGCCAACGCAAAAGCATCCATAAGCCTTTCCTTCCCCCACATTGGTGCTTCCACGGTGGGGCAGAGAATAAGGGGGAGAATTTTGTGGTTCATGTCTAATTGTTTAGAAAATTAGAGGCTTTAGAGCAGGGGTGTCCAACCTTGGTAACGTTAAGCCTGGAGGACTTCAACTCCCAGAATTCCCCAGCCAGC